ATATATATATATATATATATACTTATTTAGTGATAAAAGTGAGTTCAGTAAAAAAAGTGACTTCTTTCAAAAGAGATATATATTCGTAAAATTTTGAGTTGTTTATTTCTTTCAGGAAAAGAAGAACGTCTTTTTTTATTGCAAAAAAACTTCTATTTTTTGCAGCTACATTTTGCAGCACTAAACCAACGAACTGGACAATGAAATGGGACATCTGTGTAAACACCTTTATATTGAGCAAGAAATAATTTCAATTTTCAATGGTTAAGGAAACTTCTGTCCACCTTTAATTTCATTAATTATTTTAGTGACAGTTTCCATAGCTGTTGAAAGTTTTACAACTTTACCGGCTAATGCTTCCTGATGTATTATGCAGTGAATAATGGAAATATTTAAATTGCTTTAATTGACCGAATCCTTTCTTTAAACCTGTAGCTCTCGCGCCATCAGTCGTAATTGAAGAACATTTACCAAAACCTATATCAAAGTTTTTGAGAGTTTTTTCAACTGCCAAAAAAATATCGAGGTCTGTCGTTATGTTATGTAATACGACGAAATCTAAAAGTTTCTCGACATATGAATAATCTTCTTGTACAATTCGAATCAAAATATTAAGTTGACTCGTGTGTCGAACATCAGTGCTTTTGTCAAGCCACAAAGAAAAATATATACACGATTTTAAAAGATTTGATAATTTATCCCTTATGGAATCATTAAATACCATGGTATGTGTTAGAGAAGCATTTCAAAACTCGTCATTTGGTAAATTATTTAAATTACTCAAATTAAAAAAAATTGAATGTTACAGAAGGGTTAAAATTAATTTATCAAGAAAGTTCAACATCTTCTTCTCGAAAATCCCTGCAAGCCTCTTATGCCGTTTCTTGTTTGTAGCACAAAATTCTAAGCCATTCACCGTAGATGTTTATGTTAAAAATTGAATTATTGAAGCCGTAAAAGCATTTTTTGGCAATTCCCCCATCCCCCCTTAATTTTGAAGAAAGCAATAAACATTTTTCTTATTGCAAAAACTGTAACATCAAGAATTGCTGATTCCATAAGGGATAAATTACCAAATCTTCTAAAATCAGTTGAAGAAACTTTGAAAACTTAAAACTCAAAAAACTTTGACATAGGTTTTGGTTGTTGTTCTTCATTTACGACTGATGGCGCGAGAGCTATGGCAGGTTTAAAGAAAGGATTCGCCGGTCAATTAAAGCAACGAAATTTAAATATCTCGGTTATTCACTGCATAATACATCAGGAAGCATTAGCCGGTAAAGTTGTAAAACTTTCAACAGCTATGGAAACTGTCACTAAAATAATTAATGAAATTAAAGGTGGACAGAAGTTTCCTTAACCATTGAAAATTGAAATTATTTCTTGCTCAATATAAAGGTGTTTACACAGATGTCCCATTTCATTGTCCAGTTCGTTGGTTTAGTGCTGCAAAATGTAGCTGCAAAAAATAGAAGTTTTTTTGCAAT